TGCGTTTGTATGGAATGCATGTTTCGGTCGATTCTGTAAAATCGTGTCGCGAGTGGAGGAAAGGGATGAATAAAAATAAAACTAAAATCAATAGAAAAAACTTTTTGTTACAATACTAGAGATAAGACTTGTTATATAATAGATATGAATAGTTTGATAAAAATTAAATAAAAAACTGAAACTCAATACAAGTTTTTGTGTTAAATATTTATGTCATAATAACTACAATAAGTTACGTATTGAATGGCAATGGAGTTGTACTGTACTGTTAAATAACATATAAGATGTGTTCAAAAATGATAAAATTAATGCTTAAAACACATTGTTTATTGTAATAAATAGAAAATGCAGTTTTGCAAATAAATAAAATACATTTGAATTTAAAATATGGTACAAACAGTATAATAAAAAAAAGTTTAAGTGATTAAAACAAAAGCAAAATAAAATTATTGTCCGTTTAGTTGTCTTTTCTATCAGTTTTGGATACGATTTGTCGCTAACTATACACTAATGTCTTGCAGAGAAGGCCATACTTTTTGTTGAATAAATATTGTGTCATATTTTCACACAATTCAGTGGTTCCCACATTAATGAACCAGGTATAGAAATCTCCAATTATTATCCAGGTATCAGTAAACCAGGCGCTTGTTTTCAATAGCTTTCCGGGATCACTAGTAATCGAGACATTCGCTAAAATATAATATAATAATAATAATACAATTAATTAATTATATTTATCATGGTAAATATTATTCAAAAAATGCTATATATGGTTAACACTTACGACTATTATTTGGAGTCACCGATGATTGTGGCAATTCATGGATACTAATTGTCAAGCAACAATATAGAAATACAGTTAAAAATCATTAAATAGCAATTCATTTTTAATGTGTTAAGGGGACTTCAGAAGCAAAATGATTTTAAATAAAATTATACACCAAGTTTATACATTTTAAACTACTATTTTTATCAATACATACACGACTTGATTATTAGTGTTGAGTATAAGTTTGGGTTTTAATTGATTTGCATTGGAATGAGATTTATGTGTTGAACCGCTATTTGTGTCGATTATATTCAATGATTTGTCTATATATATGATATCAAGCTAATTATTTAATGTGCACGCTTAATTTAGGAGTTTATAATTATTACTAACCTATAATCATGTGTCTTTCAAACGTGAATCCTAACAAGTGTTGGAAAATTAGTAAAACTACAAATAATTGTATCATTATTTTCACATTCAATATTTTACAACTAGTATAAGTTATTAGCGATTTTGAAATTGAATTAGAAATTAAATTTTTAGTTTGATATTGAATAGTGAATATACTTTAGGATTTTTATTTCAAATCTGTTTATTTTAATCATTTCCTCATTGTGAGTTAGTTAATCTGTCATTAAAATCCTTTTTTTTGGATTAGGGCCATTCATAAAGTACATTCCCAACTATATGGATAGTGATTTATATTGTGTTATTAATTTGTAAATCATTTAAAAATTTTAAATTAAAATCCTGTTGGTTAAAATTTAACCTTGAATGTTATCCGTTAATATAATGTTCTAATAGCTTACTACTTCACGATAAAAACTGTACATAATGATTTTACATTATTTTTATTTAATTTATATATTACTTTAATATTCATCTAAATCTTAAGTCTAAATTGAATATAAGGTAAAAGTTAATTAACAAAAGAGTGGCTAATATTTGTACGAAAATCACGTTTTGGATGCAAAAGGGAATTGAAATATGAGAATCCAAAAGTAAAACAAACATATATTTTGAGATTTAATTTAAAACTTTTCAATTTAAATGGCATCCCTAACTCGCAAATAATATAATTTATTCACATATAATACATGCCATAACGCCATCAGTAATGAAATCTAATACAATCTGTGCCTCCAATTAGTGCCGACGCCTACGCGCACCGACACCTCGCCAGGCATACCATCACTACATATCTAACACACAATTGATATGAATATTATTTATGATAATTGTGATGAAAATTTAAAGTCAGAAATAAATATGAGATATAATATCATACAAATTCTCTCGACTATTAGATTCAAGAATTTATAATTCTGAATGAATTTCACGGAATATACAAGAATTAAGTCAATACAACAGGGATTATATTAAAAAGATATAAGAATTTATTTCATGTAGAAAAGCAAACAAATACTAAATTTGTAACGATTTAAAAAATATTCATAAGATTTTATATACACTTAATGACTGATGTAATAGCCCTGAACATTGTATAAATAAATTTACAATAGCGTATAAATCAATTGTGAACAAATTATATTAATACCATGTAATGTTAGTACTAGTGTTATAATAGCATTATAAAATACATAAAGTAAATACTTTGTAAATAATTTATTATTATTTGTCCCTATTTTAATATAAAAGCAAATATTTTTTTGATTTAAAATTCATATTCAATGTAAATATTGACAGTGAAAAATATTGAAATTAATGTCGACATAATATATCAATATTTTGTTGCACATTAGGCACTACATTAATAACAATTATATGAATTTTAATGTGACATCAAAAAAGGTTTTTTGAATTACTTACAGAATATTCTTTGTTCGATATATTCGGGTCAAGGGTATGGCATACGAAGTGTAAGGGTTAGAAAAATTGATATAATATTTCATTTCAGTGTCTTATCTATTAAATTCAATATACAGTGTCAGTGAGATTTTGTGTGTATAAGCATATATTTAGAGCGCGTATAAAATATAAAATATGTTCACTCTTTTATTTTCGTAATAAATATATCTTAAAAATATTTTTATTATTTATTATTGTCTAAAAAGACAGGAAAGAGAGAGAGAGAGAGAGAGAGAGAGAGAGAATATGAAAGTGTATTCATTAATATCAATAATTTCTACGAGAATTGTGTGAAACAATTGTGCGCTAAAGCCCTGCAAACATAGCCATTGTCTACACATAGTGTCTATTCTTTACTTCTATTGCTTTTCAGACTTTTCTCTTATTTTACTAAACAATGCCATCATTTGTTTGAAACCATATATGCATTAGTCATATATGTGTTGGCATTTCGTATAATAATGTGAAAAAACCTGATTTATTATTCTTAAAAATATATTGTATCTGATAGACCAAAATGAGATGAGTCTCTGAAAAAATGCTTTTATTTCTTCTTTAAATATTGCTTTCATGTAAAGTTTGAAAGTAATCAGTTTATACATAGTATTTCAAACTTTACACAAAAGCAATATTAAAAGAAGAAATAAAAGCATTTTTTAGAGACTCATATCATATTTGTCTATCAGATATGCGTTTTTCGGAATATGTATAAAAGTTTTACGCTATCATCACCACAACTCTCTCTCTCTCTCTCTCTCTCTCTCTCTCTCTCACTCTCTCTTTCCTGTCTTTTTAGACAATAATAAATAATAAAAATATTTTTAAGATATATTTATTACGAAAATAAAAGAGTGAACATATTTTATATTTTATACGCGCTCTAAATATATGCTTATACACACAAAATCTCACTGACACTGTATATTGAATTTAATAGATAAGACACTGAAATGAAATATTATATCAATTTTTCTAACCCTTACACTTCGTATGCCATACCCTTGACCCGAATATATCGAACAAAGAATATTCTGTAAGTAATTCAAAAAACCTTTTTTGATGTCACATTAAAATTCATATAATTGTTATTAATGTAGTGCCTAATGTGCAACAAAATATTGATATATTATGTCGACATTAATTTCAATATTTTTCACTGTCAATATTTACATTGAATATGAATTTTAAATCAAAAAAATATTTGCTTTTATATTAAAATAGGGACAAATAATAATAAATTATTTACAAAGTATTTACTTTATGTATTTTATAATGCTATTATAACACTAGTACTAACATTACATGGTATTAATATAATTTGTTCACAATTGATTTATACGCTATTGTAAATTTATTTATACAATGTTCAGGGCTATTACATCAGTCATTAAGTGTATATAAAATCTTATGAATATTTTTTAAATCGTTACAAATTTAGTATTTGTTTGCTTTTCTACATGAAATAAATTCTTATATCTTTTTAATATAATCCCTGTTGTATTGACTTAATTCTTGTATATTCCGTGAAATTCATTCAGAATTATAAATTCTTGAATCTAATAGTCGAGAGAATTTGTATGATATTATATCTCATATTTATTTCTGACTTTAAATTTTCATCACAATTATCATAAATAATATTCATATCAATTGTGTGTTAGATATGTAGTGATGGTATGCCTGGCGAGGTGTCGGTGCGCGTAGGCGTCGGCACTAATTGGAGGCACAGATTGTATTAGATTTCATTACTGATGGCGTTATGGCATGTATTATATGTGAATAAATTATATTATTTGCGAGTTAGGGATGCCATTTAAATTGAAAAGTTTTAAATTAAATCTCAAAATATATGTTTGTTTTACTTTTGGATTCTCATATTTCAATTCCCTTTTGCATCCAAAACGTGATTTTCGTACAAATATNTCTCACTGCTCGGCAGCTCTAGTAGTAGTCATTCATTCAATTTTCATCATTCATTCAATCAGTTTTGGCTTTTATTTCTCTTTCACTTACTTTCACTCATTTCTCGGTATAATAACTAATATTTATATACAAAATCATACACTAATATCTACTTAAAGGCTTTTCGTATACCATATTCACTACAAATCTTGTTATTTCGTAACAATATTATGAGTCTATGAGCTGGAAATCAATCTCAATAAATATTTACTTTACTTATTTAAATAATTTATAATAATTTTTAAAATCAACATTTGTTTTCGCTAATATTTAGGTTCAGGGCACACGAACACTAATGTCATGTAATTTATTTGATTTTCAATCAATATTAATGGTTAGTATTACGATGGCTAGTGTACTGTATTACTATTGTAATGGAAATACGAGTAATAAAAATAACTTTTTTCACTGTTTTTTATTACAAACACATTCCCGTCTCAAAGGCATCGTTTCGCTTGTCATTGAAGTTATCACAAAAAGTTTATTTATCGCAAAAAATGCTTTTCTTATCTTTATTTAAATCGATGACCACTTTATAGACTAACTGAAGCACCAGACAATCGTCGGGACATGACATCCAGCGTATAGACACAGACACACAGTACCGGTGATTGATGTCTGGCCCTGAACTCTACCATCGATTAGCTCTTATGATATCAATCTCTGCAATATTTGTGTTCAAAAAATAAATAATTGTTTCTTAAAATTAATTACTATTTTTGTTATTATTATGTTATTAATGATTGTATGAATAAAATGGAAATCTGTTTCTCAGTTGCAGAATATATCAAAGCG